ATATATATATATATATATATATATATATATATATATATATATATATATATATTTGTTTATAATTATTTTCGCATATATACACACGTGAATTTCACAAAAATATATAAAAGAGACGAAAGTGTTCATGTATGCCTAAGTATATTATCTTAATTATTCTGTATGATTTTACGACATATACAATTATAATTATATCATAACCGATTTTATTTACGCGTCATTGTGGAAAAGGATTATTTTAATTCTAAAATTTTTATTTCTAAATATTACTATAGTTATTATACTTAGATTAATTACGATTTTCGTGTTTATCTAATCAATTTTATCAGTGTAAATACATAGAGACATATAAGCTCCTGTAGATTTTTTTTCCATTGTTTAATAAACTTATTACAATCAATATAATTTATGTTTATTAATTATTATTTATATTTTCGTCAGTCGCAAACAAGACACACGAGGTAAAAATACGTCCCGCACTTTGCTAAGTTGATTTTCTATTAGAATTTGTAATTATTCATATTTTTTATTTTTTTTTTTCCATTCTGTATGTTCATGTTTATCACTATTTTCCACATCCTTTGAAAATTATCATGAACGAACTTTTCTATAGGATTGTAAACAACGGTATCAATTTACAAATTTTGTTTATAGGTTTATTTAATTATTTCAATTAAATCGCTTAAGGCTAGAATATAATCACTGTATATCATGTTTTCACAAGTTAACACTTTCATCGAGGCCTATAATTTGTTTACAATTTTTAGATTTTTTTCTTTTAATTATAACGTTTTATTAACGTATATTTCATTTAAATGAGTCAGCCAGTGAAAATTAAAATGTTTAACGAGTGCAACTGGTTATTCGATTGTCAGCAGATGATGCAAAGAACGATGGTTGTGTGTGGACGCCATTCTAGATGGAAAGAGTTCGTGCTTTTCTACATACATAGATACATTCACATATACTTGTATATGTGTATGTATATATACCCACACAATATATATATATATATATATATATATATATATACATATATGTCCGTATATATTTATATACATACTCTCTCGAATTTTTTTGTCAGTTGGTGGAAAATGAGCAATTTATTCTTTCAGTAGAAGTGATTTCAATTATTTCTTTACTTAACTACTTTTGAAGTGTAGCAGCCCTCAGGATCGAGTAATTTATGGTACCATTCCCCGATTATTCATCTTCAGTCTTTCATATTTATTATCATTTTCAAATCATGCATATAAATATATATAACTAATAATTTTTGGACATCTTTTAAGTTTTGTCATACATTAATACCGGTTTCCAATTAGAAATTTAATTTCAAGATAAAATTGCTGCTCACGTAGTACAAAATATCATTTAGCTCGAAATATTTCTGCTGCTTTTAAGGAAGCTGCACTATTGAAATGATAGTGTTCATAATGTTTGTTTTTCATAAAAATTTATTTTTTGACCAATTTTGTGAAAATTAAAACATCATTCAATTGTAACATCTATAGTATGAGCAACGTTTATTTCTCATCAGTGCAAAATAATTATCATCATTAAAGAAATGAAAGTTACAAATTTCTTAGACAAAAAAGGTATTTATTTTCTTTTGGTATATTTTTTTCGGCAAATCCCTTGCATTATTTGGGTAGATAATTTTTCATGAATATAATTATCAAAAATGTATTAATACCCAACATTGCTGATGATTTATATGAAGCAATACGTATTATTCAATTTATTAGAAGTTGTTTTTTATTGCATTGAAAATTTTATTTATGATAAATTTAAAAACTCTTGAATATCTATAATTTATCACGAAATATTTTTTTCATTATTATTTAAGATAAAGATTATAGACAATCGGGAAATGATATACGTAACTTGACAGTCCTTTACATCAATTTAGATGTAAGAGTACGGTCCATCGGTGAGGGCGCTACACAGCAACAGTCAGGAAGCATCATCTTTTCCACGAGTTCCTCTGTTCGGTCTGTATTCAAGACCTGGATCAAACTGCATTAGCACGAAAACCTAAAAAAAAAATTTGTCAAATAAATAAGATTGTTGAACAATCATAGTTACTGAGTACAGATATTACTTAATATTTAAAAAATCCTCAATTTTTGGGAGATCGCATTAGATTTCAGAATTTTTCGAAAATCGTTTTTTTTTTTTGTTAAGTTTTAAAAATCTTTATTGATCCATAAAATTTTTTCATTGAGCTGATTTTTTGAAAAAGTTCTAATTTTTAATAGTTTTTTAAAGCTCTGTAGGCTTGAATTAATTTTCTTTAATACAACTTTATCATAAAACCCTTTCTGACAACATAGTATCTGCGATTTGTTACTTAGTTTTTGACGAATTTGAACTGCTCGACTAACTCTGTCATATCTTACATGAGGTATCTTAGTAAATACAGTGGAATCTTCTCAAACTTGACACGTCGGACGAGGACCATTCCCTATAGTTGACATCTTTCATTGTTTATATAGAATTCGTGGTGAAAGAGGGTTATCAAGAGCACAACGATTATTCGATCAAGTATATAGAAAACGTGCAAGTATGCAAAGGTCAAGTATAAGGAGATTCCAGTGTAGATCTGCATAACAATTTCGATCTCTTCATGTTTATTACGACAAGACAACTTGACCCATTTCAGCCTCACAACTAACCACTCAAAATCATCGTTACCGACACTGGTTAACTAAACTATGGGTTCCGTGACATCAAAAATGGCAGGAGGGAGGGAAAATAACTGAAAAACCTAACCCGGAGCATTGATCGGGGATTTCGATCTTACACATGGCACGAGTTGTCAGGTATTTATTTTATTGTTACTAGACACATCATCCTTGCTACGCAAGCATTCATTTATTCATTTAAAAATCCCGTCATTATTCAGTCGACTAATCAACAACCAAATAAAAAGGTTACAGAAGTGACGTAAAGCCCCGAGTCAAAAAACAAATCCTAGTTTTAGATCCAGGGTCAGAACTATCGCTAATCTCTCTGCAGCTCGCACGCCAGCTTGATCTAAAGCCTTCCAAATCACGTATCCCGATTATCGGAGTAGGAAGTGTACCTTCAGGGTCAACCAAGGGTGCTGTTGACATCACTCTATGATCTAATCATTCTGACGACCAGATTGATCCACATGCGCACGTACTGTAGTCTCTTACCGTCGAACTACCTCCAGTCGTTATCACGAGTCAATCCTGGCACCACATGGCAGACTTGAAACTAGTAGATCCAGATCATCTATCACCAGATCAAATTGACATTTTCATCGGAGTTGACTCTTAAGGCTTAATCATCAAGCCTGGAGTAATTGCGGGAAACCCGGGTCATCCTATTGCCATTTAGACTGTCTTCAGATGGGCTGTTCTTGAACCTGCTGGTCCATCCTCTATCGCTGCGCCTGCACATCAAGGTCATTTAATCTCAAACTTGCAGCTTCACGAACTTGTTTCGAGATTGTGGGAGCAGGAAGAAGTTCCAGCGTCTCATCAAGAACATGGAGAAAGTTCAATCACCAACTGCTCCAGCCGATGTCTCTTACCTGCCACATCACGGGGTAATGCACAACAACAAGGCCCGTTTAGTGTTCAATGGCTCCAGTACGACAACATCAGGGTATTCGTTTAACGAGCTGCTTCATGTTGGTCCCAAGACTCAGAATGACATCTTCGACGTGCTTTTGTAAATCTGTCGTTATCGCCTCATCTTCACAACCGACGTGGAGAAGATGTTTCGCTAAATTCTCGTCCATCCTGATGATCGCAAGTTCCAACGCATCCTGTGAATTGATGATAACTCGCAAACCCAAAAGTTTGAACTTTCCATTGTTACATACGGAACTACATCGGTTCCTTACTTATCAGGCCGTACCCTGAGGCAACTACCGCTCGACGAAGGTCACGACTTCCCTCTAGCTGCTGAGCCGTTCGAAAAGGGAAGTTATGTCGACAACATTACTGGCGGTGCTGATGATCTCAACTCTCTCAACGCTATCACAAAGCAAGTTGAAGAAATGTGCCTACGAGGATACTTTCCTTTGGCCAAGTGGAAGAGCAACCATCCTGATTTCTTCAAACTTAATTTATCTCATCAACCAGGTTCAGAGTCTCATGAATTCAGCGAGTCATCCTCCAAGATTCTAGGTCTAGCCTGGCAGTGTGCTCCAGATCTGCTCAAATTCACTAGCCAGTCCGTACAAAGAGCAGCCATCACCAAACGCACCATCTTATCTGAAACAGCTCAACTGTTTAACCCTCTGGGCTTGATCTCGCCGATCGTCGTCTGTGCCAAAATCTTAATGCAAGATTTGTGGCAAGAAAAGATCGGATGGGATGATACTGTCACTCCTCAAATCATTCATTACTGGACATCGTTTCGTGATGAGCTATCTCAGCTAGCGATTCGTCGGTGGTTCAATCTACGCACTGATAGCTCGGAAGTCGAGATACACGGGTTTTCAGATGCATCTTGAAATGCGATGTTATGTTTTCCTTGGTTGCCCCTTTTACTCTTAAGGGCGCCACTGGATTTTTGTTCTCAGTTTCCAGAAACTGGACCAGAACATGGAGTGCTAGGTCAGGGTCGTGAGAGATTTGCTGAAAGGAGCTAGGATTAAAACACAGAAATTCATTTAACAAAAATTATTTATTTATCTAATCCCTCTTACAATTGAAATATGGCCAGTATTACAATATATAAAATTTCATGGATACAAATCCACACTCACACTGACACTCATTCGGTATATTTCTCGCTGTCCAGCTAGACCCTCACGTGGTTGCAGTCCCCGATGCCTACTGGACTCTCACGGTACTCTATCTACTTCGCGTCGTCCCCTGGACCTCTAACGCTACTCTATCTTAGTTCGCGCGGTCTCACGGACTCTCACGCCACTGAGCTGGACCTCTGACGTGACTGCACACGTTGTCCACACAGCGCACGCTGTCCCCCAAACTTCACGCTACTCTAAGAGAACTACCCGAAGTTGGATAGTCTCTTTACTCTCACACAAACACACTCTATTCTAATTCCCCAATAACAATAATAATATAATAGCGCTTGAATTCCAAATTTACAAATAATTTCCGTAATATTATTTATCTAATTACTATTGCTAAAAATTCCGGTTTGTCATTTTCCGAATTATAAAATTACAATTAACAATTTCCTACTTTCTAAATGACTCTTTTAAATTTATCGAGGATTAAATCCATTCTTTATGCCCAAGAAATTTATTAAACAAATTTTAATTCTTATTTTAGCAAACTTAATTAAATTCCGACAAATTGAGTAAACCTAAATCTTTTACATTATTTAATCTCATCCAAATTATTTTATTCCAAAGCATTTTATTTTATCCGAAGCATTTTGTTTTATCCAGTAATCGGCAGTACATTTTATCAAATTTATTTTTCGACGCAAAAGTTAAATTTCGACAAGAGATTATCCTATTGTATTATATTTTGTGATTCTTAAAACTTAATATTTTATATTACTCGAGTTTATTCTATTTCAATGACTAAGAGACTTTAGTTGCGACCTTGAATGACCTCTACCTAGCATTTCTCGCACGGACAAGATGGCTGACGCTCTCGCTCGGTCTAGCGTCTTTGTCGCACAACTCAAGTAATTTTTTTTCTGACGCAATTTTTACAATTTTTATATTCTAATTTCTTTTTACTAAATAATTTAGATTGACAATTCTATTGCTTTAAATGATTATTTCCGGACTCCAAGTTTAATTTAAATTAAGACAAATAATGCGCCGAATAATTTACTAAAATCATTTTACTGTCGAATCAATGTTTGTCTTAAATAATCTCAATTTAACGGTTTAATCAATTCCATTTCTACTGGCTTAAGCCAATTTATTATTTACTGATTCTCAATTAAATCAATTTTACACATGGCGAAAATCTGGAATTAATAACCCGACTTGATAATAGATATTGCCTAGTATTATCAACCCAGACAGGCCTACGTGTAAAATAAGTAATAACAGAGATAAGTTACTTTTCCTAAACAAATTAATTAATAACTCGAAACTGTCCTAGTATTATTAATTAATTGTTTTATAATTCGTCCAATATTAATATTAAATCTGATGTTAAATCTGATTCTAAATAAATAAACTATTTCTGAACGATACTTAAATAAAGCCAACTAAATTATTAAACGATTATGACTGAGCACGAAATGGCGGTGACCTTCAGCCGACGTGTTGCCTGGCTGATGCCGCAGACCCGAGGAATAATTGAGACTCGTTATTTGAACCTGGAGTATTCTTATAATTTTATCTGCACTCCAACAGTGAGCTGCAACTCCTCGTCTTCGGGTACTGGTGTGAATTATCCTCGGTCAGGTATTCTCGATTTGGCGGCAATCTCTCGTCACCATCACTCGCCCTCTGGTTATTTATTACGCCTGTAACCGCAAATCAGCATTAGAAAATATTACCAATTAAGATTAATTTACGCAAGCTGGCAGGCGGCCTAGCAAGCAATAAATTAACAAAATATTATCTCTTCGTTCCACGTTGGACAAGCAGAGTAAAAATATTTACCTTAGCTGGATGTTTTAGAAAATCTGCGTGTCGTCCAGTCGAGCCACTCAGTCACAATGAGTCTGACCAAATTCGCTCAACCTTTCTTGCTTCCTCTACTCTCCCCACTACCACTACGCTAGCTTCTCCACCTCGGGGCCTTTCTCACTAGCTCTAAACGAGCTTTAGATCACAGCGCACTGTGAGCAGTCGATAACTGACTGGATACCGAAATAGGGGAATTACCAAGTAACGATCACTCCGTTACAATCTCAAGCTGCAATGGCTGCTGCTGTCTACCTCAAAGTAACGACCTCCAACGGAACATCATCAGTTACCTTAGTATGCTCCAAGACTCGCGTTGCGCCTCTGTATCGCCTCACAATTCCACGACTGGAATTATCAGCTGCTCTGCTGCTGTCAAAACTTGTCTCTCGTGTTCAATCGACTCTCCAGCTCCAACACATTCCTGTTACATTGTGGACTGACTCTGCTGTGACTCTAGCTTGGATTAACAGCGATCCAATGCGCTGGAAGGAGTTCGTGAAGAACCGAAAGCAAGAGATTCAGTAAACCTTGTCAAACGCCACCTGGAGATTCGTCTCGGGAAAGCAGAATCCTGCAGACTGTGTCTGTCTCTCGAGGTCTTACACCAGCTCAACTCATTAATCACAAACTTTGGTGGTTTGGACCAGATTGGTTAGCCCAACAGAGTCATCTCTGGCCGTCTTTCACCGCATCAGATGATCAACTCGCCGACATCGAGATTCGCCCAAGCGCAGTGCACGCATCTTCAACCACCAAGCTGCCATTGGATGTCCTGTTCTACGAAGACAGACCTCTCACAAAACTGCTCCGTGTCACAGCCACTCTGGTCCTGGTCACGGACGAGTGATATCCACCATCAAAATAGCCGCTGGGTCGCGTCACACATCATCACCCTGGTAAGGACGATCTTACACGAGTTTTCACCATCCAGACTGCCACATCGACGTATACACGAACAATACACAAGTTGATACTTCGTCCAATCCCAAGACATAAGAAAGATTCTCATAAGGTTGCTCCAACAACATCTTATCTACTTCTTTATCGAGCGGAGAAGGAGGGAGAATGTTTAAATCTCCCTCGCTTCCTTCCAGCCGTTGGAACGATCACTCGCGCAGCAGATCTCTACACCATCGATCATACCTACTGAAACCACTTGAGGTTTCTCCGCCGCGCCACGTTGAGGCAGGTCAGGTGCTGCAGCAGAGCTACAGGTGCCCTCTGGCCAATATTTGGCGTGCATTATTATTATTATAATTATTATTATTATTCTTACTTGCAGTATAACTTACACATTGCATCTTATTATCTATCTTATCTAATCTAAATTTAATTAATTAATCGTGCTCTAAATTATTTTAATAATACTTTAATCTGTTTCAGTGATTCTTTTGCTGTATTTGTCAGTTATCAATTTCAGTTTTCTACGCTTTTTGGCTTAGTTGCATCGATTTCAAGACTTTGGCTTCTCGACCGCATGGCTTGCACGTGCTTAACCTAACTTCATTAATTTCTACCGCGCTTTTTGCTTGTTAATTGTGATTCTAGTCTCGAATAAATAAACTTAACTGTGATAAATAATTATGTGAATTTAAATATAGTGATTTTTTACGATTGATAATAAATATAAATTATAACAACGAAAGTGTTAATTATTTGAACTACGAAACTATCCAGATCTCCGTATTTTATCGTTTTCAGCATCGATCGTTAAATATGTTATTTTCTCACCTCCGGGCGGAAAGCGTCAACTTTCGTCCCGCTGCGCTAAACGAAAATGCCGCTTCCCGCCTCCGTCGAGGAGAAAAATAGTATACACACCACGGGCAGTAAATCAGAAAGCCTCAGATCACATGTTTATTGACCTCGGCTTCGCCTCGGACAACAATTACATGTGATCTGAGACATTTCTTATTTTACTGCCCTAGATGTGTTATATACTATTGTTATGTGTTATTTAATGCATAATAAGGATTAATTGACGTAAACGGGTTAGTTAAATAAAATTAATTTATTAAGCGAATTTCTCTGACTCATTAATTTTGCAATCTCCTTAATAAAATTTCTCACGACCCCGATAGATTTACTCTACTCTGGTCCGGTCCTGAAATTGTGTACAAAATCGGGTGTCCCCCTTATAAATAAAAATTAAGTGGTTTCCAAGAACAAACCATTTGTTTCATCATATTTATTTTTAGAAAAAAATTTTGAATTATTGAAAAAATAAATGACGTGCTATCTTGATTGAATGGTATCACCTACTTAATCCAAAAGTATAAAATTCATAGAAGAAGTATGTGTAATACACATTGTGTATCTTGTTTTAAGACAGTAAACGCTTCGTTGAATAAGTGAAATTTAGAATAGAGAATTTTTCGCTCTTCATCCAAGAGTTTAATGTTTTTAATTAAAGAGTAAAATTCTTGAATTAAGAGAAGAACCAAATATGTCAAAACAAGAATGAAATTTTGAAGAGAATATTTTTCTCCAATCAAGTAGTTCTTTTATATCAGTGAAGGAATTCGGAAATTACTAAATAAACATACCTGATCAGTCGGTAGTAATGTGAAATCATCGGGTGGATTAGTGATAACGTAACGCTTCGACGATGCATCAGCTGACGAGCTTGTATCTCGAAACCTGTAATTTCAATAAAAAGCTATTAACATCTATTTTTAAATCACATTATCACAAATATTTACCTGAGCAAACATGAAGTCGAAATATTTTTTTTTAGCAAATATTTAAATTTGAATACAATGTAACAATACAAGTATGTACTTGGTGAAAATATGAATGATATTTATTGGATAAAACAATTCACGAATCATTGCAAATTTAATTATAAACATGAATCAAAATTAACAAAAAATACAGTGTATGTGCGATTGATTAACAGTATAAATACATACTGGACATTTTATACCAAATCGAAAAACTATAAAGCTTATTATTTATAATAAAACTTATAGTGCATAATCTTTATCTATAGCAGAGTAAACTTAATTTAAATTATCTAAGGTGAGGACTTCATTTTTCTTTATTTGTTCATTTAGCTGTAAAATATTTATACTAGCTTCAATGCGGTTGATCTTATAGGGCACTTCTAAAATTTTTAATATGTTAAAAACTACAATTAGTTGTCTATCTGTTGCTGAATTTTAAACGAACTTAAGTATCTGTTCGTTTTGGAAGCTTCTTAACTTATAATTGTGACTGCTGATAAGCTTCTAAAAAAAAAAAAATTGAAATAAACTTGATTTTAATGATCTAAAAGAAACAGCTCCAGACGAATTTGAGTAACTAAGACCTGAATTTATGAATGAGAAATATTAAAAGAGTATTAATTTTGTATTTTATCCATTTAAATTTTGTATTTTATTATTTAAATTCACGCCGTTTTGATTTATGCAAATTTCTACTGTAATTCGTGATTTAAGAAAAGGATATTATGATCAGCTTTTCTATGCTTCTTTTTTTGTATCATTTACATTACTCGTTCGACAATTTTAACGGTAAAGAACATAAAGCCTCATGAAGTTGATTTTAGCGAAATCTTACTGACATAGTTTCTAGAACGACAACTTTGATAGATGTATGATCTTATATGTATGGCTGATTGATCAATTCATTTAACTGTATTCATCAGGTGCTAAATTTTGAAATTTTATGTATTCTAATAAAATTTGCAAAATATCACACTGTAAGCGCAATCATGTAAAATAAATTTAAATCTAGATGAATTTTTCAATAGATAATACCGATTAGCAGAATAATTCACGTTCTTTTTAGCAGAATAATTCAAGTTTTTAGATCAGTCGATTCGGTATAAAATATCTCGTATATAAGTGGTTTTTCATATTCAGTTAACGAGGCTATAGTTTTGGTTTTTGCAAATCAATATCATAATATGATAATGATTAATCAATTACCAGAAAATACATTTGTCCGAAAGTTTTCAAAATTTCTAAAGCATGTTAACTTAACGTGAAATATCACATTTATTTTTGTGTAACATAAACACATTTTTAGCACGAAAATAGCAATCATAGCCATAAATAAGCTTGCGAAAGAATAGCTTGAAATAATTTTATATAACTGATGTATACTAAAAATTGATGAATCAAAAATTATTCTCATTTTAATTATATTATTTTAGTAACGGAGTTTGAATTAACGAGAAAATCGATTAAGTAACATTTTAATCTCAATATATGTTAACAAATTTTAGTCAATATAATATATCGTAGGAATAATGAGCAGAGTAAAAAAAGCTTACAAAAAATATTAAATATTATAATCATAGAATCACGATGAGATATTTAAGGAGGACATTCAAAATTAGGCCAGCAAAAGAAAATTCCGAATTTTCCAGTAAATTTCAATAGGTTCTACTTATCAATATTAATCATATCCCTTGATTAAAAAAAAGATTGAGAACAATAGAAACGGAGATGGAAAGAATTCGATTTATTATGAACGTAATTCTTTTCAATTCCGTTCCCCTTGTTCTCAATACTTTTTTTAAACAGGGTCAGTTTTTAAACCAAACATTTCATGTTCTATACGATTATTGGTTGCTAAGATATCAATTATGAAAAACAGAAGGACACTTTTTCATTTAAAATTTGATAACTTCGAAAAAAAATAATTAAATCTGAATAAATAAGTGATTTGGTTCATACAATGATTTAACTACGAAAATATCTTTTCCAAGCCTGTGGACTGGAAAAAAAATTATTGGGCAAGAGATCTGAAATATAGAATTTTGAAGTTTGAAAAAAACTTCTTTTACAACAACTTCACTGCAATGTATCAAAAATTTTGAAATTATTTCTGCTTCTTTAATTTTTTCAGTAGTGTGTGCTAGATATTCATGTCAATGTTATCTTTCTTCGATAAATATAAGTAATAGGTATCATTTTACAAATCTTACGATGTTATGCAACTATTTTCTCGCAAGCAATAGTACTTCAAATTTACTAAATATTAGAGTATTATAACAAAAACCTTGGTTCTCCGATTAATCCAATTAATACCATTGAAGAAAAAAAAATTCCGGTACCTGTACCTGTACAATCCAATGCACAGCATTCCATATGATTTTAATGCAGCAACAAACAGGTCACCGTACTTGCCTCCCTCGCCATATTGAGCCAATGGACCATCGTAAAGCGAGATTTGACCGACTCGACACCGATCTCTGTTAGCTAAACTATCTGTAGTGCTGTTGAATTGAAAAAAGATATAAATACTCTAGGGATTTAAAAATTTTACTACAAACTTGAGTTTAAACATATGAACATTCATTTCAACGTAAGCGAAATTCCTGGCCCTATCGATTACTAATTAGCTAGTTATTAATACACTTACCTATAACCACCTCTTAATCCTGCACCTTCAGCTAGAATCAATTCTAATTCAGGTGTCGCTCCCCCAGTAATTAACGATCGAATTAAGGTCAGTGCGTTCTGGTTAAAATAGGTCTGTAATATAGATCGATAATTAGTAAAGTAATCGATGTGTTATTATATATTAAAGATATCTTGCTCTAATTATGAAGGATAAATATCTATGTTCATTTGGACTTGTAAAATCAATAAATATATATCTATATATAAATGTATAACCGTCGACATGAGTGAGTCTAATACGCTGACAGCAAAGGCAGTTCCACAGGCAAACGGCTGTGTGAGGTAGAGTTCCGTATCGGGGTCATCGTCATCATCCTGATCAAGAAATTGAACGTTACTATCATTCACAAGTTCTGAAAAAATAGATTACGAATCAATAATATGTTCATAATAATAATAATAATAATAATAATAAAAAAAAAAAAAAAAAAAACATTGGTTATCGTTTCCTTGAAAGATATTTAAATTTACCTGTGATCATCGGCACATTAGCTCCATAAACTGATCCTCGTCGCTGCAGCACTATAGGACTGCCGACTGAAAAAAATAATTTTCTTATACTACTAAAAAATTAATATTCTCAATAATCGTTAACTTCAGGCTATGAAAATCAATAATTTTCAACAGTTCGTAGCGATACGTGAACCTCGACGCACCGCGAGTTTGAGGTTAGGTTAAGCGTTGCTATTATGTAGTTACCCTTAATTGTTTAAAATAAACAGTGATTATTTTTAAAAAGAGTGTTAAACCCAACAGCAATTATTGTCTAGAAGAAATACAATAAAAATCTGCGTGAGGGCAACTCCTACCAGGCGTTACCCAAAATGCTAACCTCCAGTACCGTCAACCTACAGTCTATGTCAAACAACGTAAGTGTAATATCAGCAAGAAATACAACAATCAGTCAAATTATAACACCCACTCGTCAACGTACTCAGAGACCAATAAGTTATGCCAATGTTGCTACCTCATTCCTCAAAAAAGACCAAGCCAGAATAATGATTCTGAATGCAATTGAAGGTATTGATGCGCATCATCTAACATGTTCAACACTTAACATGTTAAAGATTACGTTTACTCATTAGCTACTCAAGTCCCACTGTCATCGATTATGTTTGGATCAAGAATTGCACTCTCGAATTTGCATTTATTTAGACTCTAGTAAAACAGCAGATAACCTCATCGAGGTAACTAAAAATGTTAAAGTCAAGGATCAAGTTTTACTGATTAGATCACTAGTTTCCAGGAACAAGAGAGTAGTCATATCCAGTAATTCTCCACTATGTCATCCTGGACATGTTACAAGAAATAAGAAGTAAAGCTATGTCCTCACTCTCATTCATGAAAATTGGCATCTCTGACCCAGGCTTTCTACACATTCTTAGTTTCCGGAGACAATTTTTTATTTTTCCGGAAGATCAAACAAAGTTACCAAATTCCTTCCATGTACTCTACGAGGATACTGATTACTGGATCTTTACATCAACCGACATTTAAATTTTATTTGCAATAATACAGGTCACACTGCTAAAAATTGCCTCAAGAGCCCTTCAGATGCAGTGAGAGAGAATTTTTCAGAATCCAATCTCACTGAATAACAACACTCAAGAACCCACAGAAACTAACCTTTTTCAAAATCAGAGCACCATGGCCAATGATTCAATCCCTCCAACCCAGATACTCGCAATAAGCCAAGACACCACAAAATTTTACTAATTCAACTCTCCAGGATCATCAAGAGAGATGGAAATTGAATAAATGGCCTGAATTAAACGGCCTCATTCAGCAACTACAGCGTCAACAGGAGTAGAAGATAGGGAATCGTGTGATGACGTACTATTAACCCTGTTAACAGAGAGCTCTGAGTACGAGTCTGACATATCAAACGCCCAATTAGAAGGTAATTTCGTTATCAGTAAAACAGGTAGGAAAATGAAGAAACAAAACAAGCACAAACACCGGACAGCAAAACTGATGAACAAATATGGCAGGACCTAGAACATAAACTCACAAGCTCTCCAGTAAGCTTTCCACTAAATTTCAATCAATCAAAAATCCTATAAGATATATTTCGTGGTAATCAAGATATCAAGGAAACTGTTGAGAAGTATACTAAAAATATTGAGGAACTTATTTTGTCATACTATTCACCCTGAGCTCAACAGAAGTCTAAAAAATCGGTGCAACCGCTTGAGAGAGCAGTTAGCACAACTGATCAACCCAGCTAAGACTGATAGAAATTCTACTGCCATTAGTCAAACTTACAGCCAACAATAAACCTCATCAAACTTCGGTTATGAATATTATTCAATGGAATGTTAATGGGTTTTACAAAAGATTTGAAATGATTAAACTACTGGATAATATCGACAACCCCCAAATTTTATGTCTACAAGAGACTAGTTTTAGTGACAACCACTATTATGATTTAAAAAATTTCATCTGTTTTTAGAAAAACCGTATTGATGCCTCCAGAGCTGGCAAAGGTGCTGCTATATATGCAAACCCCCTGCACCTTTCCAAAGGAAATCAATTTAAATATAAATCTTGAAACAGTAGCTATTAGAACGAAATTCACGAAAGCTATTTCTATCTGTAACATCTATTTACCAAATAGCTCTCAACTCAATATACCAGAGTTAGAAAACTTAGTACAAAATCTGCCGAAGCCTCTCATAATTTTAGGTGACTTCAACTTTCATCATCCTCTCTGGGGTTCCGAAAGACATGACCAAAGAGGATTATTGTTAGCAGAATGGCTAAATACTCACGCCGACTTAATTATGCTGAACACAGGAGACCCAACGATCTTCAATAGTAGTAATGCAATAATGTAACTTATTAAATTCGTGCTTACACTTGCATGTTTCTGTGATTGTCGACCAATTGCGAGGTAAGACTGATAGATATCATAGCTGTCAAATTTCCTCCCTGTTACGCGCATACACAGCTGCACACATTACAATTTGTACACAGTAAAAAATTTTTCGTCATTGTGTAAAGTGTAAAAAATGTTTGTGTAGAATTTAGCATTTTCGTGTGTAGAATTTAACATTTTAGTATGTTGATTCAACACAATAGAGTGTTGATTCAACACAAATTGTGTGAAAAAAGTCATCAACACAAATTTTTGTGTTAAATTTGACGAAAAATTTACTGTGTAGTGTCGTTTATTGTAAGATAGAATACCAACTGGTATAGCTGGTATAGACGTAGCAATTGCATTTAGTGAACTGGGTATGCCTCTTGATTGGTTTGTTCTGAAGGACACATTTAACAGTGACCACTTCCCTATATTTATTAAATTATATACAAACAACAACTATTAGCACCTTCACATGGAAGTACCAAAAAAAATGGATTTTCAACCAAGCTGATTGGTTCGTGTATCAAGAGTCTATCGACAATTTTCTCCTAAGCTAGAAAATGGATACTACATTGAATAATAGCTTTATAAATGATAGTTTATATTAGTTTATATTATTGAGTAATGGATAAATTTTCAAATTGTATTCTAAGCGCGGCCAAAGTAGCAATCCCAAGATTTTCAGGTGAGGCAAGGAAAAGAAATCTACCTTGGTGGGACCAGAAATGTGACGGGGCAATTAAAGACAGTAAGAAAGCACAAAAAAACTATTACAAGAACAGAAACAAAGACCCAGATGATAAATTTAAAATTGATTATAAAATAAAAAGAGCAAGAAAAAGAAGATTATTAAAAAGTTAACGAAGAGAGTCCTGGCAAAGCTAGTAAAGACATCAACGTTCTAGAAGAGCTGATCTAACCAACTCTTGATAAACTACTCGCATGGTCTGATACAACGGGATTTGAATTTTCAAAAACAAAGACAGAGTATATGCTTTTCATCAGAGAACATTAGAGAAATGAAATCGACTTAACGTTTGGGGGACAACCTATTAAACGAGCCTATCCTTGAAAAATATTGGGTATGATCCATAATTCCAAGCTTTCATGGAAGCAGCAAAAGATACAGGAGATAAAATATTAAGCATTATAAAATCTCTGGCATCGACTATCTGGAGAGCTGAGAAAAACTATCTTATAACCACCTACAAAGGTTTAATTAGACAAAAAGTAGAGTACGGACCTGTAATTTACGACTTGGCCCAGCCCAACATACTTGCAGCATTAGAGAAACTACAAAATTCAGTGCTAAAGATATCACTCGGTGCCTATAGGACAAATCCGATAAGAAGCCTTTTAGTAAAAGCATCAGAGATCTCACTAACCCGGAGACACAAAGAACTAATCTTGACCTATGTGGTGAAAATAAGATCATCACCAGATAATCCAGTTGAGGAGAGCATCTTCAAGAATTCCTCCTTAGACGGAAACTATTTTCATCGTCCAATTCTACCGGAACCTCTAAGATTAAAATGAAAAAGATACTCTAGCGAAATTAATCGGGAACTCTCGAGTGAATGTATAAATATAGCAAGACCAGGACCCCCTTGGTTTAACTTAAGCTAATTAATAAACCTGGAACTATCCGAAAACCCCCGTAAGGACACTTCATCTCTAATATTCGGAAATTTGTTCCTAAAACTCAGAGATAAATACAAGAATTAACAGAAATACTAAACTGATGAATCTAAAGTAGATAATAATGCTGGATGTTCTGTGATTTCCAACAACACATCCCACGGCTTCAAATTACAGAATTATCACTCAATATTCACTTGTGAAGCTTGGGCCATACATAATGCTATTAAATTAATAGAAGAAAATCCAGCACCTTACCAAGTCGTTATCTTTTCTCAATCCTCTAATAAATCAAATCTAATATAAAGTAATTGAGCTGATCAACGATGACTGTGATATTGTTTCAGGATGGATTCCTGGCCATCATGAGATAACGAGAAATAAAACCACAGATTAAGAGGCTAACGAGGCAATACACAGAAATTACTGCCTGACATAGATCTAATCCCTGCCCCGTCAAAATCGGTCGATTGCTACCTAAAAATTTGAACAAGTACATAAAAGCCTTGGTTAAAAATTACTAGGACGATAAATGGAAAAACGGTCCTACATTTAAATTACACCAGGTGCGGAAGTTTACCACTTAAAACTTACTTTAGTTCATTTTCTCAAAAAAGGACCAAGTAGTTATTTCAAGACCTCGTATTGGCCATACAAAACTGACACACTCGTTCTTAATTACAAAAAAAAACCTAGCTCTCGCTGCCACAACTGTGGTGAAATTCTGACAATAAAGCACATTTCCATAGAGTGTTAAATAACTATAACCCAGGAAGATGGAAGATAAATCTACTAAACAACATGGCAAGCTGTTTGAGTGACCATTTCAAATGCTTGAAGACTCTAGAATTTATCAAAATGATTAAATTATTTAATAAAAATCCGCTAGAGGGCCAGACAGGCTGACGTGTTATTTTTTTTTACTCTGATAATTTACCAATAATATCATTATTTAAATAATTTGTTTTTGTTAATTAAAGTATATTTAATGTCACCATCATGCCTCCGAAAAAAAACATTTGCAGCGTCTGTAACCTCATCATCAGGGAAAACTTAGTAAGCATCTTATGCTCATCCTACCGTACCTAGGTACACCTGAAATGCACTGGCCAAGAAAAATGGTGCTACATGGAAATGTGATTCATGTAAAAGTGAGGTTAGCATAATTATCCCAGATGAAACAACTAAAATTGTCGATGATGGCGCAGTCACCATGGACAAACTTAATAATTTATTTAAGCAAAAGCTCCAGTATTATACAGAATCCCTTAAGGAAGATTTCGGACTTGAGTTTAATCGTTTTAAGGCAGCTATTGAAGGTAATGTGGCCAGCATCAGAGACGAGGTAAGTAAGATTGCTATACAAAATAGTTCACTAACTAACACATGCTCTCGTCTCAATAATAGACTCACTTCAGTAGAAGAAAAACTCAAGTCCTACCACAATACACCAGTACCTACGAAAGATATTTTTGCTGAACTAGCTGATCGAAATAAACGACAAGCAAATGTAATAGCTATGAATATCGCTGAATCAACAAAAGCTGATGGTCACGATCGACTTGAAGAAAATAGAACAAAAGTTCTTGATGCATTGCCACCCACAATTGCTAACAACATAAAGAATATAAGAATACGTCGACTTGGTCGCCCATCAAATGGACGAACACGTCCACTACTTATCGAAACGCCGTCGCCAGATGATGCTTTATCTGTTCTCAAGTGGAAACCATCAACTGAAATCGGAGGACCTCAAATACGATTCAATTCAGACCTAACGCAAGCTCAACAAAACCATTTAAAAAATCTAAGAGCTGAACTTGATACTATAACTAAAAATGGCGACTCAACAAAAACTATTAAATATGTCAATGGAGTTCCTAAGATTGTCAACAAGAATTTTCGTTCATTCAGCAAAGAGAACTCGCCCAATCGCACTAACAATAATTTATCAAAACGTACGAAGACTGAGGACAAAATTAAGCAGCTTCCTAACATCGTCATCAACTGATAACGCTGATATATATTTTATCACCGAGTCCTGGCGCCATACAGCCATACTAGACGGTGAAATTATCAATAACTCTTATTTCATTTTCAGAAAAGATAGAAGTCCCACAACTAGTGGCTGTGAGCGTGGCGAAGAAGTCTTCATAGCGATAAAACGCTCGTTTCAAGTTGAGCTTATCACAACTCCAAACGATACTCTAGAACAAATACGAAGGCTACGCATCAGTGGGCTGCACACAACTTAACAACGTATTCAATGAACATAATGGATTATTAGATCTCTGCTTTTCCAACCTTAAAATCAAAATTACAAGCACACAGTCCATCATGACTCAAGATAAATACCATCTAGCTCTAGAAATCTCAACAGACCTTCGACCCAGTCTGAAACCAGTAAACAAACCTTCACTAGCATTCAGAAAGGCAGACTACACGAACCTTAACGCATTCTTCTTATCGACCAACTGGTCGCAGCTCTTTACATATCAATCTCTGAATGATAAGGTCAGCTATTTGTACGAGTTAATCCGTGATGGCATCTCCCTCTACGTTCCAGTATATATAAATAAGTCAAATAATTACCCGTGTTGGTTCTCTAACAAATTAATTCGAAAATTCAAATTAAAAAAGGCAGCTCATGTAACCTACAAAAATAAAGAATCCAATCAGAATTACAAAAAATTTAGTAACCTCAGGCGCGAATGCAAAGAACTCAGTGCATCATGCTACAGGAACTATATAAATAAAGTCGAACAGTTAGTCAGGTCTGACTCGAATGAATTCTGGAAATTTGTTAAGAATAAAAAACGAAACTGTAGTGATATAACATCCACACTTTCATGGAATAACCGATCAGCTAATAACGGTGAAGATGTCAGCAACCTATTTGCTAAATATTTCGAAAGTGTCTATCCATCAGAGGCACAGCACCCGAGAATCATCGAAGATAGTCAACATAACTATCAGCAAGCAACATTAAGTAGTCTGGAGGTTACCACTGACAATGTTCTCAAAGCGCTGAGGTCATTAAATCCTAAAAAGGGTGCGGGACCCGATGGAATTCCCAACATTTTTCTTAAAAGCTGTGCGGCAGGACTTTGTGAACCGCTCACACACATCTTTAACACATCGCTGCTACTCGGTACCTTCCCCACAGACTGAAAGACATCTTATGTTAGTCCGATTCATAAGGATGGGCCCAGATCTGATGTCTCAAATTATAGACCAATATGCATACAGTCGGCACTTGCAAAACTATTTGAAAAGCTAGTCTTACCTCAGCTCAGTTTATTCTTTACTGATATCATCACGAACAGACAGCATGGATTTTTTGGAGGAAGATTGACCGCATCAACCTTTTTACATACGTCAGTTATATACTTAACGCAATGAATAACGGACATAGAGTTCATGCTGTCTATACTGACTTTAGTAAAGCATTCGACAGAGTCAATGATCACATATTATTAAACAAATTAAACCTACTAGGTGTACAAGGCAATGCTTTGAAATAGCTCAGCTCATACCTAACAGACAGGCAACTTCAAGTTCGGGTCGATGGTCACCTCTCGGCAAGCTATAAGGCTATAAGGTAAAAACAGGAGTACCACAAGGATCACATCTGGGTCCCATTCTGTTCAACGTATTTATGAATGATATTGGTTCCAACTTCGGTTCAAAATACCTTCTCTACGCCGACGACTTAAAAATCTACAGAATGATTGCTAACGACTCAGATGTCTACGCACTACAACAGGATATTGATCATCTCTCTGCATGGTGTTCCAATAATAAACATAAAAAAATGTGCAGTAATATCCTTCTCACGATCGCATGTCATACTCCCCACTAACTATAAGCTAGATGATAAAAACATCATTGAAGTTGAAGACATAAAAGATCTGGGCATCATCATAGACCGCAAGCTAACGTTCTCCAAACACATTAGTAAAATAACCCTAAGTAACTGAGGTCGTCAATGACCCTTGTTGTTAAGCCGACCGTTAAAAAATCTGGAAAACGGTTGACCCTAAAGGCCATCTCTGCAACTTCCCGCCAATTCCATACCTAAATGCTCGAAATTGCACTTACGACGTTTCTAAACTCTTCGAGCTCAAAAATACAATTTGTGTGTTATTTTGAGCTCTCCGAGCTCAAAGAAATAGCTTTTGTATGCTTTTGAGCTCTTCGAGCTCAAAAGGCTGATAGAAGATTAATAAAACAGTACTTTTTGAAGTTTCAAACTGCCATAATTTCTAAATGAATAAATCGATTTTCACGCGGTTGGCAGTATTCCAGGCACTTTTTCAGAATCTATGATACACTTTTGAACACAAACTGATCGAACCGAAAATCTTAGAGAAATTTGAAAAATTCACTTTTTCCGAATTTTTTCGACAACGATAACTCACGAACCAAACAACCAATTTTCATGTTCTTGGTGGCGATCGACGTGGATTTTTGGGCACTAATGATTATTTTATTTCGTCAAAAACGATCCGAAAAAAAATGTCGAAGTTATGTGAAAAAACACTTTTTTCGAAATTTTTCGTTTTGGATAACTCTCGAACGAATTAACCGATTTTGATGGGACTGGTGGCAATCGACGTAGTTTTTTAAGCTTTAGAACTGATTAGTTTTTGGAATTAATCGGTCGAGCCGTTTAAAAGTTATTGCAAAAAAACGATTTTTTGAAAAATTTTATTTTTGAGATTTCTCAAAATCTAGCAGACCGAATCGATTCAAATTTTCACGAAATTTGATGGCAATGATACTCTTCGGAACGCCACCTATTCCGATCTGATCGGCCGAGCCGTCCAAAAGTTATAAGAGGTTTACATACATACATACACACACACACACACACACACACACACACACACACACACACACACACACACACACACACACTCACACATCTCGGGGCAGAAGAGATACTGCTACCGGGCGCGTCCCCCCGAGCGGATGGGAGAACGCTCGCTGTCCTTGGATGACACTTGGATAATCTCTTAGTTGATGGGGTACAGCGGGTAAGAGTCAAGCGAAATAACCAAACAAAATACGCTCCCGTGGACAAAAACTCCCCTTTAATGGGTTGGTCACACTAACTGACCTAACAACACAAGGGTAGCGTTGTTCGCGTCCGTAGATACTGCTTTAACACCCTACACGTGCTCTCCGGGTAGTGCTAAATGAACAACACCAAACAACGATATGGAAATGTCAGAAGATATTCAAACATCGTTTACAGTACAGAGGATGGATACCTCAATGCCGGCGA